CTAGAGTAGCTTTCCTTAAGGATTTGTCCTTGGGTCTACTAATTAGATATGAGCAGTTAATGCTTAGTTATCAGTTAGTGATATTTCAGAAATTGCATAACCCTTGGTCCCGGCTTATCACTATTTCAGGGTCAGTGTTTTAGAAATTTAGAAGCCTTGACTTGACTTATGTGGTTGGATGTCTGTACATAGTTCTTTAAATCATTGCATGTTAGCTTTTAGGGCATTATTCTTTTGGCTGTTTTGACATTGAGTTTTTTAACTCTTGGGTAGGAAGAAAGTAAAGAAATTTTCTTTTGACTATTGTATGAAGTTAATTTTAAGGCAAAGGAAAATGAATTGGGTTTTAACATATTTTTCTTCTATTTACATAACTTTACTGTCATTTTGAGTGGGGCCTTCAGAGACTCTAGTCTAAATGTGAGCAAAAACTCCCTTTCCCTATTTCCTAGCCCCTGACTCGTAAAAGCCAATGTGTAACAGTGGTTACGTTATTTATGGAGAGACAGGTTCCTTTTGGAAGTGATGCACAGGAGGGAGAAGTAATCTTTTGCAATGTCTTCTTCCTCATCCCCCCATGGTAATTGAGTTAGTTGAAGGGAAGAAGCTTATGTATTCATTTATATATGAAATAATGGCGTATTTATGAAACTATGGTCTGATCGTAGATAGTAGAGAATTAAATTAAAAATGTATTCTTACAATTCATAGAAAAATCAAATATTTGTCTTATCCTTATATTTCTTATCTAATCAGTTACCAGTTTGTGAATATCTTCAAAATTTATCCTCTCCTGTCCATTCTCATTGCCATTGTGATTTTTGACAACATCGTTTCTTGTCTGGATTTATTGCATTTCTCTCTGTGGTCCTTCTCATCCTCTCCTGCCAGAGTGGGCTTTCCAATATCAGATCAGTTACTTTCCTGCTTAAAATTCTTAGTTTCCTCGAAGACTTTGTTATGATACATACAGGTTCTTCATGATAGGACCTCTAGCCTCCTTGCCAGTCGTAAACACCACCACTGCCAACAACTGCAGATACTATTCTACTGTCTGCTGGCTTCTACTGTGGGTGTTGATAAGTCAGGCACCCAGCATAATTGCAGTTCTCTTGTAGGTGATATTTTCTTTCTGGTTGTTTTTAAGAGGTGTTTTTTGTTGTTGTTTTAAATAAACTTCTGTATTACTCAGTTTCACTATGATGTCTCTAGTATGTAAGTGTAGATTTTTATTTACCCTTCTTAGGATTCTGTGACCTTACTTTGAGGATTGGCTTCTTTCAACAGTTCTGGAAAGTTCTCAGCCATTGTCCCTTCAAATTTTGTCCGTCTTTATAGACCTTTCATTAGATGCATTTTGGACCTTCTCATTCTCCATGGCTTTTTTCCAGGTGAAGTATTGTGAAAAGATATAAGTAGTCTAAATGTCCAATAGAGGATTAAATAAATTATATCTCAGTCATAAAAAGAAAACAATAGGCCAGTAAAAATGATGTAGCAGGAGGCATAGTGACATGGAAGGATGTTCGTGAGTTATTAAGTGAAAAAAGGTAACAAAGTAATATGTATAATGAGTCCATTTTTATAATATGTATATTTATAGTATGTATATTTGCCAAAGTAAAGGGACAAATGATATTTACCAAAATATTAATGTTAGTTACTTGAACACCATAGGATAACGGGTGAACCTTTTTGGGGGAAGGGGTTTTGGGTTTTTAATTTTCTGTAACGAACATTGCTTTTAGAATAAGGAGAAGAGGGGCTGGCCCAGTGGCGCAGCAGTTAAGTATCGCACATTCTGCTTCGGTGGTCTGGGGTTTGCTGGTTCAGATCCCAGGTGCAGATATGGCACTGCTTGGCAAGCCATGCTGTGGTAGGCGTCCCACATATAAAGTAGAGGAAGATGGGCACAGATGTTCGCTCAGGGCCAGTCTTCCTCAGCAAAAAAAGGAGGATTGGCTGCAGATATTAGCTCAGGGCTAATCTTCCTTAAAAAAAAACAAAAAGAGAAGAGAGGGTTATTAAATTTAAATTACCCCACATGCACCCCCCCAAAGTTCATTCTGGCAAAGTAAATATTTCTGGAAAATTACATATCTTATAAATTTGAGTGCCCTTCACTCTTCCTTTTAGGCATAATGCACAATAGCAATTGTTATATTGAAACAAAAATACTCAAATTATTACCACAAAGAGCAGATGAGAAAATATAAATACTCATTAAAAATATACTACTAAAATGATACGAAGTTACGTTATCATAGTTTTTGGGAAAGACAAAGATAGCAAACTAGAAGTTGTAGTCCTCTGCTTCATGTGTCAACACTTGTTCTGTTCTCTTTCATTCATGTATCTGTGCAGAAGGTCTGTACCCATGATGATATCTGATATTTATTGGTTCCCATAGTAGAAGAGGTAACTTGACATTTCAATTGAAAAGGAAAAATAAGGACGTTTACTATCAGATCATAAAATTCTTTTTCTGTAAGAAGATACTATAGTATTTGAGGATATGCTTTGAAAAAAATATAGAAACTAAAGAGGTACTATTTCAAGATGACTAAGTCTATATTAAACTTAAGGAAATTCTGATAAAACTCTAACTCAAAGACAAATCTGACCTTAACAAGAAGTTCCAGTAATTAAGACTTTTAGCAAGCAGAATGAGCGGTGTAAGCAACGTTAGTGGGCCCCAAGTTTAGTAGGGTGGACATTAACTTTTGCATTAACACTTAGTTTTTGTTATCTTAAAAATGTTGCTTTAAGCTATGAATGTTTTGCCAAAGAAGAACTTTAAAAATTTTTAATAAATTCATCAAAAGCTAAAATATAGGTAGGTTATTATGCAAGATATTATATGTGAAGACAAACTATTAATGAGTAAAGGCAAACTGCATTCAAAATGAACTCTACCCGTAATTTATTAAAAGGGCAGACCTTGATTACTCTGGCTGCTTACTTAAATTATAATAGTACTGTGGTTTAGTATGAAAATTAAAAACTGTGTGCAAATCTGTGGCAGTAATAAATCACAGTATACAATACATATGGAAGTCATACAGACCAACAAATTCTCATAAAAATATTTTAATAGCTTTAAAATCCAATTTTTCTTTAATATGAAAAAAAGATTCTCAAGTCAGATTAATTAAGAATTCCTTAATTATTACCTCAATTAGTCAAATTAAACAAACTACGTTACTGTGACTTAATATGTAGAAAGGAATCTTTCAGAACACGGAAGTTAAAATGAAATGAATTTTAGAATATTTTCATCATTCCCCCCCCCGCGCAAAAAAACCCTTGTACCCATTAGCAGTCATTCCGCATTCCCACCACTCCCATCATCCCTGGGCAACTATCAATCTTCTGTCTGTCTCTAGAGTTGTCTGTTCTGGACATTTCATGTGAATGGAATCAAGCAATATATAGTCTTTTGTGACTGACTTCTTCCAGTTAGCATAATGTTTTCAAGTTTCATCCATGTTATAGCATCTATCAGCGTTTCTTTCCTGTTATTGCTGGGTAGTATTCCATTATATGGATAGACCACATTCTATTAATCTGTTTATCAGTTGATGGATATTTGAGTTGTTTTCACTTTCTTTTATTATGAATAATGCTGCTGTAAGCATTCATGTACAGATTTTTGGGTGGGCATGTTTTCATTTCTCTTGTTTATATACCTAGGAGTGGAATTTCTGGGTCATATAGTAGCTCTGTGTTTAGCCTTTTGAGGAACTTCCAGTCTGTTTTTTAAAAGCACTGCATCATTTTACATTCCTACCAGCAATGTCAGAGGGTTTTAATTTCTCCACATTCTGACCAACAGTTTTTCCCCCCAGTTAAACTATTCGTACCAAGTGGGTACCACTCTTATAAACATCATTGTTACAGGTGTTTATAAACACTTCTCTAATTGCATTGCCGAAGAACCATCATACCCAATCCCCAAAGTAACAGTTTTCTCAAAGTTTCCTGCACGTACAACTTTTATCCCCCCCTGGCTTTTTTCAGATATAGCTAACACATAACTTTGTTGAAGTTTCAGGTGTAACATGGCCAACACTTGCTATGTGTTTTTGATTATAGCCATCCTAGGTGGTTGTGAAGTGATATTTCACTGTGGTTTTGATTTACATTCCCTTATGGTCAGTGATGTTGAACATCTTTTCATGTGGTCTTGGCCATTTGTATATCTTTTTTGGAGAAATGTCTGTTCAGATACTTTGCCTATGTTTAAATTATTTGTTTATTACTGAGTTGTAAAAGTTCTTTATATATTCTGGATATAAGTTCCTGACCAGATTTGCAAATATTTTTTCCCGTCCTGAGGGTTTGTCTTTTGACTTTCTTAGTGGTGTCCTTTGCAGCAGAAAAGTCTTTTGAAAATTTTGATGAAGTCCAATTTATTTGTTGTTGCTTGTGCATTTTAGTAGTCAGAGTTGCAGGATCCATTCAGAGAATCAAATTTTCCATGCTGTCAGAATTGGATGTTACAGCATCATATTATTAATATAGTTGTAATTATTGTGTGTACATATAGGAATTTTCTTTTTTCTACATAGCATTTTTATGTATACGTTTCCTTCTATTTATATTGCCCATGCTTCATTTTTTTTTTAGATGTTATTTTTCCTTTTTCTCCCAAAGCCCCCCGGTACATAGTTGTGTATTTTTAGTTGTGGATCCTTCTAGTTGTGGCATGTGGGATGCTGCCTCAGCATGGCTTGATGAGCGGTGCCATGTCCGCGCCCAGGATTCAAACTGGCGAAACCCTGGGCCGCTGAAGCAGAGCGCACAAACTTAACCACTCAGCCACGGGGCCAGCCCCAACCCATGCTTCATTTTTAAGAACTGTGTTGTGTTTTGTGGCTGTACCATAGTTTACATAGTCATCCTTTTTTGCTTGTTTGTTTTTCAGCTTTATGATTTAGATAATGCTGGTAGGTAGCTGTATCCATCAACTTAAAAGTTACATTTTTTTCTTTCCTTAGGTCGGATTGACATAAAACAGTTGATAGCAAAGAAGATACAGTTGACGGCAGAGGCAGAGGTAAGTAACTCCCTCTTCCAGAAACAGAAATAAAGAGTTTTAGGGTAGAGTTTTGTTCAGTAAAATTTTTAATGCTAAATTGCTTAAATAATTGTTTACCTTTCCTATCAGTTGACATCATGCTGCTGTGGATCAGGAAAATAAGGTCTGCCACCTTGTCACCCTACATAAGAACCAGTTTGCCTTTTTCTCTCCCATCTCATCCTGTCACTTTCATTTTCTGGCTTTTACCAGCAAAACTCGGTTTTAGTAAACCATGATCCAGTTGAATGTTTGTATGAATGTGTAAATGCTTTGTGAAAGTATCTATCATGGTTCACAGTAAGGAATAGATCTCCAATAAATGTTGAATCTGAATCTAGAAGTAGACTCCCTGTTAGGGACGTAGAAGAAATACCAACTCAAAAACAACAACGTGGAGCCATTTCAAAAGGGGCAAACAGTTCTACAAGTCAGAATTCAGCAGTGCCCTCAGGAAATTCTAGAGGACAAAGAACAGGTATTTTTTTTTTTTTTTTTTAAATAATCCAATACTGTGTGTGTCTGAATGTAAATTGACTTCAAATCCAAGGCAGCCTCCCTTTTCCCCAGTGAGAAAATTGCTTCCAAAATTTATTGACCAAACATCCAAAGATGAAGATGAAATAGCCTTGTTTTTATTTATTAATTTAGTCACATGTGCATGCATGCATACGTGCATTTATAGAGAATAATTTAAATTTCAATATTTTTACAGGCATATTTCACAGAACAGTAAATACAAGATTATTTATATTCACTTTGATATTAGTGTCTTCTTAATGATCAGAGCTAGTTTTTCAGTATTTTCCAATCCTGGGGTACAACATTTTCACTTTCATCTCATTTGTTGGAGATACAGCACTTTTTGAGTCCAGAAATGATGCTCTCACTAGAAGTTTTAGTACAAGTACCCGTTTGCTTAACATTGAGATCTACCCCCAATTCATCCAATAAATATATTTCTGATTTTTACCATGTAACCACTTATTGTATTGCTTTATAAAATGGTATTCAAAAGGTGTATTTATTTACTATACTTGAAGCTGTGAGTCTAGACCCCTAGTTAATAGTGTGTTAAATTTTGTTTTTCTTGATTGCCTTAGAATACATGTGTAAGCCTTTAAAACTATAATGGTGAAGGTCATTTCTGGTGAATGTCTTTTTCCAATTAGTAATTTGTTCTTTCATTGTAAGAGACTTTTTAAAGACTTGATTATTAGATAACTTCCACTTATCTGAGGGGTAATTTATAATTTTGTCTAACAAAAGAAAAATATTTAATATATAGGCATGTGTGCTGTTTTTAAGGGCCCGTTCTTGCAAATTTAGTGATTAGAATAAAAGAATTTTGTTTTTATGGCTTAACTAGAGTATTTCTAACCCTCGTTCCTCTAGACAGGCTGGGCTCCAGGTTGATCTTCTCTTCCTTATCAAATTCCCCTTCCGTTCCTCTTTTGCTCCTTCTCTCCTCAGCATGAACACAAAGCCTTTATTGTGTCCTGTTTGTCAAAGTTTCAAATAGGTGAAAGGACGGTCCGTCCCTGCTATTGTTGCTGTTTATCAAAAAAATCTAAAATGGGAGGGAAACTTAGTTTTATGCAGAATCACAAACTCAAGGAGGAAAGGGTGTGTGGAGTAGGAAGTAGAGGTGGGGGAGAGAGGGACTAGAGGAAGATTAGAGGGAATTTTTCACAGATTTAAGTAGAAACTTTGTGGGTTTTTTTGAGGATGATTAGCCCTGAGCTCAGATCTGCCACCAATCCTCTTCTTTTTGCTGAAGAAGATTGGCTCTGAGCTAACATCTGTGCCCATCTTCCTCTACTTTATATATGGGACACCTGCCACAGCATGGCTTGAAAAGCGGTGTGTAAGTCCATTCCTGGGATGTGAACCGGTGAACCCTGAACTGCCGAAGCGGAATGTGCAAACTTAACTGCTGCGCCACTGGGCCAGCCCTGAAACTTTGTTTTTAAAGATAGTTTTCTCCTTATCTGTTTTGTATATTAATCAGTGAATACACTTATATTCTTTAGTTTGGTCAGTTAGGAGTGTTTGAAGGAGAGGGAAATAAATGAATGTTACGTGAGGGAGAAGAAGCTGAGGGAAACGGGGACATTGGTTTAATTAATGTTGTCGTTACTCTGTATTATGCAAATGATATGAGGGTCACAGAGCCCTCAAGACTTGTTCCCTGTTGTTAAGGGAAAGCTTGGCCTGCTCAGCTTAGCTTGAGCAGAGGTTTGGAGGTAGGAATCTTACATTGTATCTTGGAAATGACACTTGAATCGTGTCTGCGCCCCTATTGGGGCACAATAGAAAAATACAGTTGGAAAATTGGGGCTAGATGGTAAAGCACTTTTTCCTCTACCTTTATGCCCTTGTTCATGAAGCTCTGTCTACTTGAAATTTCCTTAAACTTCTTACTTTCACCAACCGAAACACTGTATATCCTTCAAATTCTAGCTCAAAAGCTACTACTTCTACGGTAAATACCCGAACTTGAAATCATGTTCTCCCTACTTTATACTTCTAAGTACTTAGTTTATACCCTTAGAATATACTCTGTGTTTATTACAGAGTGTTTTTGTTCTGAATGAATCACCAAAATTCTTCTGGTGAACTTGTAGGGGGACTTAGGAATATTTTCATTGGCAATTTGACATCAAATGAATTGAATATCTTACCGTTGTTTATTAACTGAAATGTTTTTGAGGGCAATATATTAGGAATGCTATTCTGATATCAAAGTTGGGGATAATTTATAGTTTGGAGACAGTGAGACCAAGTACGAAGCTATTGTAACACTGTAGTGTTCTAAACTGAGGAACCAGGGGCTGGGAGGGGAAGGGCCTTACACCAGGTGCTTTATATACATACCCTTATTTACTTAAATTATTCCATTTTGTAAGAGTGATCTCTAACTGGTTTCATTTTGTTGTTGTTTTGCTTTATTGGTTGAAGCAAATTGGTTCATTTAATAACATGAAATGACTGTCAAGGTGACGGGTGTAGAAATATTGTTTGGAGCTATGAAATTTATTTGTTCTTTCACATGCTAATTCCTTTTTTCTTCCGGGTTTTTAGAAATAATTTTTAAAACAAATGAAAATCAGGAATCTCTCTTGTCATTTGTAGTTGGGTCTCATGTTCCAACCCAGTTGTCACTCATTGTCATTGGACTGTCTTCCTCTGATCTTTAAAAGTAAGAACACTGGACTAGCCATCTCCAGGGTCCCCGTCAGCTCTAACAGTCTGTGTCATAATTGTGTAGCTAACTTCAACTTTTGCTTCTAATTCACTATTTCCTGTTATGTAAAGAGAATGGGTAGCCTATAGGTCTTATTGGCTAACTCTTTCGGCTCCACAAAACTAGAGTTTTCAGATAAAATACAGTCTGTCTAGTTAAATTTGAATTTCAGATAAACAAATAGTTTTGTAGTCATCATGCAATATTTGAGACATATTTAGACTAAAAAACTTATTTGTTGTTTATCAAATTCAAATTTAACTGGGTGTCCTATATTTTTGCTTGCTAAATCTGGCAACCTTCAAAGAACTCGCTGTAAAAATTTAGATACATAGATAGAGGAGGTCATATTAAGGAAGAGTGAAGAAAATTGTCAAGAACTAAGCAAGCTCTTTAGTCTGAAGGGAAGAGGGTGGTGGAGGTGATGACATTAGTGGGTTGAAATTAGAGGATTGAACTGATTGAATCTCTTAAAGTCACTTGTAGGTCTAAATGCTGTCTTAAGAAGTTTTAAGTGCTTAATTAAAAAAAAAATGTGCTAGTGGGGTAATACGTTGTGTGACCCTGAGTCATGGCCTTTTGAAATCCTTTGAATTGTGTTGTAGCAAGACTTAAAAGATCTTGGAACAGTCCAGAGGAGATTCAAGTGATTAAGTGCCAACTAATTTACATTAATAGATAAATTAGCTTTGTTTTAACATTGTGTTAGTTAAATTGTTTCTTTTAGTTGCAAATAACAGAAACCTACTTTGGTTTATTTAAGCGTAAAAAGAGATGTATTTGAAAAATATTAATATATCTCATAGAATTCTAGGAGAAGCTGAATACTCATGCTTTGGAAAGGGAAAGGATTTTAGTAGCAAGAGTTAAGATAGTTATGAAATTTTCAATTAATAAGATTTCCTGGGGCTGGCCCCATGGCTGAGTTGTTAGGTTCACGCGCTCCGCTTCAGCAGCCCAGGGTTTCGCTGGTTTGGATCCTGGGCGCGGACGTAGCACCGCTCTTCAGGCCATGCTGAGGCAGCGCCCCACATGCCACAACTGGAAGGGCCCACAACTAAAAATACACAACTGTGTACTGGGGGGCTTTGGGAGAAAAAGGAAAAATAAAATCTTTAAAAAAAAAAAGATTTCCTGTCAGTCTTTCTAAACTCAGAGTTTCAGATTTATGAGCGAGAGGATTGGATTTTGGCCAGAAGGGCGGGGCCATTTAGTACAGCCCTGTCCTGGAGACTGGGTGCCTGCTCTCACCTTTGAGGACAGTTTCCAGAGAAAAGGAAATATGTTGAAAAAAGAAAAGAGAGTGTCTTTACTCTCAATATTTGTAGAATTTTTATTAATGTATACAATTTTATAAAGAGAATGTTAGGTCTAATGTGAAAATTAAAGGGATGAAAAATTACTTTCTATTTCCACTTCTTAAAAATACATATTTGTCGCAACATGTTTTCTTTGCTTCTTATATAGTGTTGCAAGTATTTTTCACATCAATACCTTATGCTATTGCCCAACCATTAAATAAGCAAACTGTGATGAGTAAGACTCAGATGGCATGTCTGCAATGAGGACTTCTCTTCATGGTTTATTAGTCATTCGAGTAACCTCTTCTAAAATTTGATTTCTTGGCGGACTGCTGGAGAGATAAGTCTAAGTAATTTCTGTCCAGAAATTTTTTGATTGTTATATAAGGTGAGATTAGGTTGTGCTGTGATAGTAACACAAGAGGAACACA